AGACAGTCAGCAGAGGTGGCTGTTATAAACTCCTTCAGTTCCTCTTCTGCATCACGGGCAAGAATCTCCAGCTGTTCCTCCGTCTCCCACGTGATCTCTGGATCGAAGGGGTAACGTGCCGTCACCTCTTGTGACAGCCTGCTCATTAGAACCACCTCAGATGGTGGTGGCGTGCTCGGTTCTGAAGATCGTATGAAAGAAAACAACGGAATTAGCAAAGAATACAGAAGCATGAACGCCAGGGATTTCAACACAGACTGTTATAGCCCGACAAGTAGGCTGAAGAAGAAGAAAGGGGAGCCGGCTTCTGGGGTCGACAGCTATATTCAAGGCTTGTAGAAACGGTAGATTCCCTAGCTTCTTCAACTCTAGTTTATTTATAAGATTTTTGTCATTCTCAAGCATTGCTGCCAATGGCGTGCGAAGAGCCGTGGTGTCGCGTTCATTAATTGGCCGGCCTGTGCGTGAATATCACCTTAAGGAAAATATTGATTTATCGATCTGCAGCGCGCATGAGTAAAGAACATCACGCGTGATCAATATTTTCGTGCGCGAATGTCCTATTTAGGAAAATATCGACTTATCGATCTGCAGTGCGGGTGAGTAAAAATAGATCACTCGCGGCCAAAAATGCCATGCGAACTGATTGGCTTTCCGGCATAACTTGCGGTGGTCAGTTTTGGCATGGCGCGTGGCATCGTTCTTTTGCCATATGCTACGTTGTACTAAAAATCCTGATACATCGTGGACATGGACAAATATCCACATTCATAATGTGAAATTCATTTGTGGATGTACAGGGGAATTCGGCAGGCTTGGGGCCGTCCATTCTTAAGGTTGCGACTGCGTTTGTTTGGTCATCATGCCTTTGGTCCACCCAACGGCTCCTGCTGTTTTTGCCACATTTTGTGGCACATCACCAACTCGTTTGAATGAACCTTTTCGATTTGAGTCAAACGCCATAACCAGGCTTGAATGGGGCACCACTTGGGTCTGGGTGTGACTGGCTGGGGAGAGCTAATAAGCCAGAAATGGTAATTCCGGTCTCGCGACTGTCAGGGTATCTGATGAGACCCGAGGCAGAGCCGGACAGACGAGTTCCGTTAGCAGTCATGTGAAGTGTCAATAGCCCCTGACCTAAACGGGCTAGACAACGAGGAGTCATGGCTCAATGGTTAGGACGTTTGACCCTGATCAGAGAGGTCGCGAGTTCGAGGCTCGGGTGGGGCACCACTCGGTGGATCTGGCTATGACTGGTTGACGACGGCTAATAAGCCAGAAATGGCCATCCCAACCTCTCGCTTGTCTTTACCGGCAATAACGTCCGGACTAAGGTCAATTTGGCGTGAATCCCGCTTAGGAGTGGTGTGTTTGGGCCTCAGCAAAGATATCCGGCGTTCCTGCCTTCCTTATCGCTGACATCCTTCCCCAATCTCAACCATGTCTTCCACTGTCAGTACACTGCGCGACGCTTACACGCATTTGCTCCTAACCCAATTAGTGTCTAACCGATATAATCGGACAAGCTCCCACTCCAGACGCATCGTTTGTGCAGTACTTACTATTACCTTCAGTATTATTTTATTGAAGGAAGGACGGGCGAACGTTTTTAAACTCCTTATTGGTAAAAAGACGATAGGAAATATACATACGGCAATTTCATGTTGCGGCGGAAGACACAACAGTTGTTATGAAGTCGAAATAGTAATAAAACATGACTACTCGCTAATAACGAGTAGTATGATGTTATGTTTTGTTGTATCGCACATTTGCCATTATATCCAGTACAGTAGTCGCCGGCTATTAAGCCCACCTCGGGCCCAGACCAAATTG